TTTAAAAAAAATATATATATATATATATATATATATACACATTTTGTATTATATATATAATATATGTGTGTATATATATATATTAATATTAACATATTCTAGCATAAAATATTATATACAATATATAGAATAATACATATAAATCTTGATATCTATAATTTCAGGTAATATTTTTTAATATTGTTAAAATAATTATCGATGCAAACGCCATTAAGCTTCATATACATTTTTTACGATAGAATGAAATAGCATAGAAATTATTTTCACATATACTTAATTAATGTAATAGAAAATAATTTTCAAAATCATAATTATATTTACTATGAGAATTAGTATAATTATAAAATATTAATATTTATAATTATTATTAAATAATTATAAATTATTAAATTTATCCATCCATTATTAAATATTATATTTAAAACTAAAAATATGAAATAAAATATTACATTCGCTTTTTGAATTATGTAAAGATTATAAAATACATAATTTGTATTATTTAAGAAGATACAATATTTCGATAAAAATTTAAAGCTCTTTACAATTCAAAAGGCAAAATAAATAAAATTTCAAATTTTTTCAATTTCTTCGAATTTAAATGCAATTTTTTGAACATATAAAAGAATAATATGTTTCTCAAATATTGCACGATGATGAAATATGAACAAATTCATATTTACAGAAATGCAAATATTTTATTTATTATATTACATAATAATTTAATAATGATTTTTATATAAATATTAAATTTTATTTTATTAGTTTTATTTTTATAGTTATTCTCTATCTTAGTTTAAAAATTCAGATTTATTTTTATTTCAGTTTATATAATGATATTTGATAATATTTAAATGAATTTTTGAAAATTATTTTAATTTAATAAAATGTTTTTATAATTTTTAATGTGGATTATTTATTAAATAAATTTTTATTTAAAGTATTACTTGGAAATAAAAATTTAAAATCAAATATAAAGATCAAATAGAAATATTTTGTATGTATGAAAAAATATAATTTAAAGAAAACATAATTTTTAATAATTTAATGATAAAAAAATACTAATGTTATTATTAAAAACAATTTCCAATTTTTGCTATTATTTCACATGACAAATATTAAATAATTTTGGATGAAATTAAATTAATTAGTGAATTTGACGAAATCCTTAGTAATATTCACAAGTTTATTTTTTCTTGCGTAATCATTTATAATTTATCATGAATTATTATATAATAAAATTAATATACAATATATTTTGGAGCAAAAATTTGTTATACATGTTTACAAACTAAGAAAGTAAATACATAGGTAATCATAGCAGCAGGAATGGCCTACTATCTTACAAGATGTTTCGCGTGCCAAAATTTCATCATACATTGTATGTTTTAAATGTATATTATCATTACTAATATTAATGTTATTATTATTTATATATCAATATTACCATTAATATTATTATTACTTATTACCATTAACATTACTTATTACATAAATCATATTTATTATATATGATTTATATTATAATTGTATTTATATATGAATATATATATAAATACAATTTATATATATATATATTTATATATTTATAACGAACACCGCCCATTACTACTAGCATTACAAATGGGAGCTTCATCTGTCTCTGTTTTTCTCTTTTTCTTCTTTTTTTGATAGATCTGATACTCAAAATAGATGATATATCGTCGAATGTAATGTGATACACGCATTTATTATTAATCACTCAAGAAAAATGTTTATCTTGCACAGTTCACCTCCCATTCCATTATAGTGGTTTTTTCCATTGTTTTATTTTCCATTCAAATATATATTCATTGTAGACACACTCATGGTGTATTTATATTTGTAGATTATAGTACAGATCTGTAAGCAAAAAATATGTTTTCTACAATAAGAAACTTTTTCTACAAATAAGAAAAATTTCAGAAAAATTACATAAATAAAAATAAATATTTTTTTAAATTAATATATTATTAATACAAAATATTAATATATTATTAATACAAAAACACCTATTTTAAAATATTTATTTTATCCTATATATTATATTATCCTTTTATTTATTTTATTTTTTATATTACATATATTATGAAACTAATATTTATTGAATATTTAATTTTTTATAATTTGAACTTATCTAAATCATTTAAAAAAAAATTAACATATATTAAATTAAATGGCTAAATTAATATATTTAGTAAATATT